GGCGGCTCGGCGGCTGGTGTGGTTGGTGACGACCGCGGCAGCAGTCGCAGAAGCTGTGGCGACTGCTGCTGCAGAGACGGCTGTGGCTGCTGCCTCAGGGACGGCGGCTGCCGGCCGCTAGGGGCCGCGAAGAGCGGCGGAGAGGCCGTGAAGGGCGCCACGAGGGGCCGTCGAGGGCGGCGACAGGCCGTGAGAAGGCCGCGGAAGGCGGCTCGAGGGGCCGCGAGGGGGGGGCCGTAAGGGGCCGACTGGCGACGGGAGGGGCCGAAGGGGCCGCGGGAGGGCCCGTAAGGGTAGCACGAGGGGCCGTAAGGGCGGCACGAGGGGCCGTAAGGGCGGCACGAGGGGCCGTGAGGGCGGCGCGACGGGCGCGACGGGCCGTAAGGGCGGCGCGACGGGCCGTAAGGGCGGCGCGACGGGCCGTAAGGGCGGCACGAGGGGCCGTGAGGGCGGCGCGACGGGCGCGACGGGCCGTAAGGGCGGCGCGACGGGCCGTAAGGGCGGTGCGACGAGCCGTAAGGGCGGCGCTAGGGAGCCGTGAGAGGGCCGCTAAGGGCGACGCGACGGGGCCGTGAGGGGCCTAGCGAGGGCGCGACGGTAGGGAGAGCACACAGGGCGCGACTCGGGCCGGAGCGAAGCGCGCTCCGGGCAGGAAAAAAAAAATTCGTGGTGGTGGGCCCTAGGAATCGTTCCCACTAGGGAACCTGCTCGATACCATGAGAAGAAACGAGGAATGGGAATGACTAAGGGAAAGTTGGGTACAAAATGTAAACCCTAGAAAACTGTACCCCATATGTGCTACCCCACTATAGCCTACAGTAGCTATGTCATATAAATCTGACATTGTCCTGCGCTCGAGACTATTAAGCAGAGTTTTGCCCAATGTTTCAATGTCGTTTAGTGCTGCTTTTGTGATTCCGAATGTTCTAAGACCCAAAACTTCTCGCGCAGTGCAGGGAATTCGTTGCAGCTAATAACGGTTGTCACTTAACTAGAAAAAACGCGAATTATTTTTTTCCCGCCCAAATGGGCGACGACTCGCGAAATACAGCACGCAAGTGACTGCTGCAGGCAGCGACGATAACAGCCACCTGCCGTGCTCACTAAGTTCTTTTCACGTGAAGCATTGAGGCAGTGGCATACTGTACAGGCAGCTCGTGATTGATTCATGTACTGCCCGCTTCTGAGAAATTCCGAAACGACAACTGTACAATACACACAGGAATGGCAAGTGTCAACAAACAACTCCAGCCGTCAGAAAAATATTATCTCTTTCGATGAGAGTAGCTAGTACTCAGTACCACGGAACTTACGGTTTCGAACCCTAAAATTCTGAGACTTTTTAGTCTAAACTGTATGGAATTGTAGAAACCGCCCCATTGAGCCAGGGAGGACTATATGACCAGAGTCATTCAAGGCCATTCACTGCCATCAAGCAGGCCACCAGTCAGAGGGCTTTTTTTCCAGAATGTCGCAAGCGCCAACCGTTTTGGGCGCAAAACGCACTTGTGCGACAGATGGCGACCCTAGAAGTGATGCTACCCTCGATCCTGCACCAATAGTACCCTCCAAACGACCAACCACCTCCACTGCCCCCCAGGTCACAGACAACAACTACCTAAACTTTCTCGCATGGATGAACCACCAGGCTATCAAGCCACCTCCAGCTCCAACTATGCCACCAGCCACAGCTGAAACACAGCCCCCCCCACCAAGTAATCCGAGTGAGACAATTGCTGGTGCAACGGGTGAACTCGTAGAGGACGGTGAGGCAATCGCCACCTCTAACACAGCCGTTCAGCCACGATTTGCCCCCGTCAACGCTGCAGTTCCAGTGAGGCCACGAACCAGTGAGTGCATTTTTTTTTAATATGTTTTCGTGTTGCCTAGCTGGATGCTTTAAATTATTTTAAACCTTGTCAACTACAACAATTCTCAACGCCAAAATCCTAACATGCTTATAATCGCTGACACATATTTCCTGCTTCTGTTTGTCAGAAATCCCAACCACTAGACCATTGGGATAAAAGGGCTTGTTAAAACCAGGGTGCACATTCAACGCGGTTCGGCTTGAGATGTTGGGAAGGGGGTTTGGAGAAAAACAGTGATTGGCTCACGAGGGGCGACAAAAAAATGATTCCGCTAGAGCTTCGGGCATTTCGTAGGTGGCGGGAGGGGGTGAAATGGCAAGTGTGGGTGAAACCGAATGGCGGGAGGGATGAAACAGATTGGCGGGAGGGGGGGGAAACGAAATTGCGGGGGAGGGGGGAAACAAAATTGCGGGGGAGGGGGGAAACGAATTTCGACGGGGAGGGGGAAATGAAATTGCGGGGGCGTGGGGAAACGAAATTGCGGGGGAGGGGGGAAACGAATTTCGACTCGAAGGGGTTGAAAGCACACCTCGTAACCCACTCAGTCAAGGGATAACCTTTGATGCACATTCAGCTGAATGTGCACCCCGGTTTTAAGTAGCGGGTCAGTGCGCCCATAGCCCCCCAGGACAACGTGCCTGTAACCCTTCCCTAGGATCAATCGGGGATCCCCAGTGGACCTCTGACACCCCCCCGCACTGGGATGCCCGAAGTGCACACACTGGGATTCGAACCCGAGACCTTCGCTCTGATAACATGTCAGAAATCCCAACCACTAGACCATTGGGATAAAAGGGCTTGTTAAGTAGCGGGTCAGTGCGCCCATAACCCCCCAGGACAACGTGCCTGTAACCCTTCCCTAGGATCAATAGGGGATCCCCAGTGGACCTCTGACACTGTTATCAGGTTCTCTTCATCCACGAGTTGAGGCGGGAATACATTTGGAGGCTCAGTTGGAGGATGTTACAACCACGCTGCAGATTTCCCGCCAACGCGAGGAAGAACTTCAGAACTTGGCGGACAGCAAGGACCTCGAGCTGGAGCACCTTCGAAGCGTCGTTGCAGAGCAGCTTCAACGCATTGACTCGCTCGAAAACCGGGCGCTATCCGTGTCTGCACCGTCTCAACTCTCAAACCCGGCTGGCACCGTCATTCAGGGCCCCGCGCTCCAATGGGACGTCACCAAGCTCGACGTCGTAAACGGGGTCATTAAGATTCCGACAAAGCTCACGGATGAGCTTCAGATTGGTGTAAGATTTTCGCCCGTGAACCCAGTCGTTACAACATTATTGTTCTCTATGTGTTGTCAATTCTAACGACCGTTGTTACCGTAATTTGTTCCCAGAAATTTACGAGTGACTCAATCTATTGGCTGACAACCGTTGCCCCTGGAAGCTACATGAGCTTTTTTCCGGAATGGTCAGAGCTTCAGCACATCGTCGCCATGAAGTATTTGGAGGACGGGGTAAGTAACGACGAGTTCTATTATGCTATTTCTAGAGATTGTAAGATGCGGGAGACTGCCAAGAAGAAATGCTCTGAGCGTCGTTCTAACCTGAATAGCCCGATTAGAGTGTATGCTTGGGGCTTTGGCGGATTCTACAACGAGACGGTTGTAGCCACCCTTGTCGCAGTGGGGATCCAAGTTGGATTTGTGAGGTCACCTGTGCAGTGGGCAGAAAAGTTTAAGCATGGTGAGAATTATTCCCTTACTGTCCGCCTATTGTGTCTTTCAGAATCCTGGATATACTCATATCTGTTTTGTTTTTTACTTTGCAGATCGCTATGGCTCTAATTGGCATTGCACCGAAGGCGAGCGTCCCTTTTCCAACCTAGGCTGGATCATGGCAGTGAGCAAGGCTTTCGGTGGCGTGAAAGCTACTGCCTGGAACGTCAAGCTTGTTGGAGCCGCGTATGTGTGCTACGTGGTAAGTTTCAATGTATTTTCCCAAGTTTTACTTCTTGAGGTGTATCTTACATTGTTTATTTTTTACTGTTCATGTGCAGGTTGAATGGCCAATGGCCAACGCAAAGGGATCCAAGGTTCCTGCGATGTCTGGGAATGAGCTCCTCAACACACAGAACATGCGGAGGAAGACTGAAGAAATCATCTCGTGGCTGAAGGAGTGGTACATCCGTGATCCCAGTGTCTGGAATCCAAGCCACCCTGCTGGTTTTCAAATGTGCAAGGCAGTTAAGATTGAGATAGACGGTTTTGAGAGCCAATTTTTTCCAAATGGTGTTCCAGTATAGTTAGTTCGTAGTGAATAATTGCATGGTGATGTTTGTAGTACAGGCGCTAATAATCTAATGACCACCAAGAAGCATGTTTATTTAGCAATGGGTGGCAATATGCGTCTTCTAATCAATATCAGCGTTTATAACGAATTGAACGTGTATATAAAATTTGCGGTATTTTATATACTAACATTCAAAGTTAGTTGCATGTACTTACGAAAATCTGAGAGAAGTGTATATTATCAAAAATTAAGGGTATTTGCATACAGTCACATATTGTAAAAAACAAGCACAATTAAGATTTGATGGTGTACAGTCTGACGGTTTCTATGCTTGTTGGTGTCGATGTAACTGAAAGCGCGCGTGGTAACAACTCTGCCTTAAATTGCAGGATCCAACCATCTCTCACACAATCGCCCCATTCGCGAAGGGCCTACACACAATTGAAGTCCGGTCGGGGTGGTTGTTGAAAGCAGCTCACCAACATTTATAGCCAGTGGGCCGAAACTCGATCACTCCGCGATCGTCTCCCGCGGTCACCGCGGCGTTCGCCGTCGCCGCGGCGCTTCTGATCGCGTGTTCCGCGCCGCTTCCGGCGGCGGCGCAGGCGGACGGCGAGTGCTGGCCGGGGAACGTGCCGTGCCCGGGCGGGACGGGGTGCGTGCGAGCGGATAAGCTGTGCGACGGCGAGTTCGACTGCGACGACGGCAGCGACGACGGCTACGACTTCTGCCTCTCCTACGATTGCAGCAGCGTCGGCAAGGTGCGGGGGAGGCGGCGAGTAGTAGTGGGGGCAAAGTAAGAAAGTACTTCCGATAAAGTGCCTCATCGTAGTATCGTATCTGCGGTCATCTGCCTCCTCTCATCTCCTCGAACCTTCCTTCCCCTCAAATGTTCCCCCATTCATCGCCATCATCTGCCAGACGTGGTGCCGCGACGGAGAGCGGAGGACAACGACTGCACGGACTGGAGCACGGGCATCTACCACCTCTCAGCCCCTCCGACCCTGTCTCGCATTCATCCTTTCTACCTGCAGACGTTGTGCCGCGCGGATTACCAGGGCTGCCGGGTGAGCGGATTCTGCTGCTGCCGCTTCCTTCCCTCCTCTCATCTCCCCCGCCTCCCTTTTCCTGTCCCCCATGTTCTCCCCTTCCCACAGAGACGTGGTGCCGCGAGGGCTACCTGTGCCGGCCGGAGAGCGCGTACTGCGACCTGAACAACGACTGCTGCCCTGCCTAGACCTGTTCCCCTCCCACACGCCCACTCTCGCCAACTTTTCCCTCTCGTCCCCTCTGTGCCATCACTTACATCCAGACGTGGTGCCGCGAGGGCTACCAGTGCCGGCCGGAGAGCGCGTACTGCGACCTGAAGAACGACTGCACGGACTGCAGCGATGAGGAGCCCGAGCAGTGCTACTCCATCTACAAGGACATGCGCAAAGACCTGTGCAAGCCCCAGGGCCTGGTGAGTCACCACGGGGTTTCCTTACAGACAGGTGTTGCCCCTGTTGCCCAGTGTTACAGTTGTCTTAACGGCAGAGAGGAGGAGCCCAAGCAGTGCTACCCCATCTACAAGGACATGCGCAAAGACCTGTGCAAGCCCCAGGGGCTGGTGGCTTTATCTCTGCCAAAGGGTTGGTGCGTAAAGCGTTGTCTCAGCATCTCCCCCGTGGAAGTGTGTGCCAGCATCCCCCAGTGTTCCGACGGGTCAGAAAGTTCCACTGCTTCACCCACTGTTCCCAGCCCAGTCAAATCCATTGCCCCATCACCTGCTACTGCTGGACTCAGGGCCGCCTCTGCGACAGAGCGATTTTTTGAATTCCTACTCCGATCCAAGGCTCACCTCCTCCCATCCCCTCCCCACCTCCCCCCTCCACCCCTCTGCAGGTGCGATGTCCCAACGACCCAGGCTACTGTATCGACCCCCAGGAAGTGTGTGACAGCATCCCGCAGTGCTCCGACGGGTCAGACGAGTTTGACTGCTTCGCCCACACGTGCCAGCCTGGCCAGATCCACTGCCCCATCACCGGCTACTGCGCAAAGGGCCGGCTGTGCGATGGAACGCCGGATTGCTTTGGGGAGATGGGCGAGGAGGACGAGAATCCAGACTTCTGCCAGGGGTATGCGTGTCCGGCGGGGTGGAAAAAGTGTGCGGATGGGCTGCAGTGTGTGGAGGCTGGTAGGTGGTGTGATGGCGCTGTGAACTGCCTGGATGGGAGCGATGAAGGGGCGGTTTGTGTTGTGCCTCCTCCTCCTCCGCCTGCTACTGGAGGATCTGGGACCAGCTCAGGTGGTTCTTCAGGTGGTTCAGGTGTTTCCAACAGCAGCAGCACTCCAGTTGTTTTGAGCAAGGAGGAGATTGCGAAGCTGAAGAAGCTGGCTCAGGAGAAAAAGGCGGCAGCCATGGCTGCCAAGAAGCAGAAGATGGAAGCCAAGCGGGTGGCAGAAGAGGAGAAGACAAAGCAGCGGGCGGCCAAAAACGCTGCGATTGAGGCAAAGATCAAAGCTAAGGAGGAGAAAAAGGCTGCTGTTGCTGAGAAGAAAGCTGCTGCTGAAGCCAAGAAGAAGCAGCAGGCTGAAAAGGAAGCTGCAATCGCGGAGAAGAAGAGGAAGCAGGAGGAGAAAGCTGCTGCGATTGAGGCTAAGAAAAAGAAGGACGCCGAGAAGAAGGCAGCTATTGAAGCCAAAAAGAAGCAGCAGGCTGAGAAGGAGGCAGCGATTGCTGAGAAGAAGAGGAAGCAGGCAGAGAAGACTGCTGCTATTGAGGCTAAGAAGAAAAAGCAAGCTGAGAAGGCAGCAGCGGTTGCAGCCAAGAACAAGGCAACCACTAAGTAACCACTCTATATACTGTTTTGTGTGTTGTGTTGTACTTTAGTGGGCTGGTGCTGTTTATTAATGCTTCATGTATTGCTTGCATTTTTTTACGATTCCATGATGAAATGCCATGATGAAACAACAGCGACGCGAAATTCCGCTCAGAAAAGCCCTCCCTCTAAGCCTGAGCGGTATCACGACTGAAGTGAGTTTGCTTCATGTGGGGCAGCACCTTAGCAATCTCAAATCCACATCGAACCATCGGAGCCGTCAGATGAGCATGCAAGAACATCCGTCACCCAATCACATTCTTTGAACTGCGAATGGACCGCCGTTTTTTTGTTTTTTATGGGCGATTTCCGACCGAAAGACAGTTTTGCTCAACCCCCACAGCTCAGCTTGTTCAGGCAATTCATTCAGCTGCTTACTCAGGAGCAGGAAATCAGCACGCAGGTGGAGTGGGGTGGCGTGGGGTGGCATCAACTGCAGCAGAAAAAGTCCTGCTTCTGTACAGCATTCTCGATTGTGTGTTTAGCACCTGCCTGTTCCAACTCAGCACACGCCATCTCTACTCCCATCCCCTCGTCTCGTGTCGCCTTCTCCTCTCTCCTCCTGGCCCTGGCCCGCTTTGCTTTCCACACGCCGACGACATGGGCGAGCGATGGCAGCGTAATTGCGCGTGTAGCTGTGCAATTCCACCCTCCCTCCGGGAGAGAATTGCTCCAGTGCCTTGTTTGGTGATTCGCTCTTGCCCACGTGTCCCCAAATTGCTCGAGTGGCCATCAAATTCAGTGATAATTGCTCGAGTGGCCACGCCAGGGCATTTTCGAGGGGTTTTTTTTCTCCGGCACATTACCCTTCCAGGGTTTGTATCCCCGAAATTCCTCGTTCGCACGAGTCTCATCCCGCGGTAGTGATTCGTATTATTCCCCACCCGAAAATTTCGGGTGGTTGGCGGGCACGAACGTGGCCCGACCAATAGTATATGCGCGGCCATTTTCGCCCCACTGCGCGACCAATGAGCGCGCGGGCAAACAAATTCGGAACCAATAAGCGCTCGAGCATATAAATCCGCGATCATAAACCTAACGACCGCGCATGATTCGTCAATGATATGCTCGGTGCAATTGTTGGCATTACACGTCCAATCAGGTGCCATCATTAAGGATTGCGACCATATTTGACCGCGCCAATGAAACTCAATTTACTTTATGATCTCGCCAATCATATGCTAAAAACACTCGCACAAACATAAACTCTGGCCAATTAGGTTCTAATTAAAACGCTCATGTTCAGATGGATGCACGAGTACTTTCCATGTACCATTTAAACGGCAACAGCTTAAATATGTCAAGCTCTATGCATGTGTATGCTGAGTCCTAAACATTGATTTGGAGTTTACGATGCAAGCCGTTTCAACATTTATTGTGTTTTGTGACCAAGGAAGGTTTCGATGATGTCGTCAGCCACCCCTGCACACGTTGAGCAAACGGTGACATTAGTAAGTAAGGTTAGCAGTTTGATGGTTCTAATGATAAGCAATGATGTTAAAATCATACATCTCACCAGCTGCTGGCTCGCTTGCCAGTGCGGAGCCGTGAGACGGGGGGTTGGGATTGTTGGGTGAAGTCGACATGCTCAAGCTGTGCTGTGAATCTGTCATGCCAGCTACTGGATGTGCCGTGCTGGGTGCAACGGCTGGTGGTGTGGGTAGGACATGCGGATGGGGTGCCGTGTTTTGTGCTGCGGAATGGCCTGCAGGGTTGGGAGCAATGGGTGCTGAAGGGGCTGGGTGTACGGAGATAGGGGCTTGCACCTGGCTGAATGGATGGATAGGGATTTGGTTGAATGCAAACTGCTGGGATGGAAAATGGAGGTTGGGAGGAGGGTGTCTGTGGGTGTACGGCTGCCATCCACCAGGGTTTAGGGTTGCACCTGCGGGTCCCGCGAAGGCGGCGGCTGGCGGGTGGTAGTTGCCAAACGTGGCTCCTGGGTGCTGGTGGGATAAGAGAGGTGGAGCCTGTTGTGAACTCCTGCTGGCGCTGCGGTGGAAGGCTCAGGGAGGCCGCTGAGCACTTCACGCCAGTTCCTCCACTCTGCCCACCGCTTCGCATCCACAATCCTCTCAACCCCTTGCGACGTCAGATCCTCCAAACACCTCCTCTCCTCCACGCTCAACTGCACCATCTTCGAGCTGGAGATGGACGGTCGGCAGATGTGGGCGGCTGCTGCAAATGCTTTTGCGGCATCCAAAACCTCGGTATACCGTCCCAGCGCCAACCACTTGTTATCTAGGCACATTCGTGCCGCCCACTTACCTTCCCGTCTGCTTATACCAGTATAACCTGAGCTAGGAGCTCGACCACGCGCAGTGTTGCGACTCGTCGTCTCAGTCCCTGTGCTGTATGCGGACACCAAATCCACATCCACATTCGAGGCAGTCACACCATGCCCAGTACCCACGGCCTCTCTAGCACCTCTATTACCATCCGTAGTACCCAACAAGCCTCTGGCACCTTCATCACGCACCTTCCCACCTTCACCAGTCTCAACGGCAGCCACAGGACCCTCACCATGTGCACCTGGGTTGCTGTCATGTGTGCCAGCATTGTCCCCACCCATGACTTCCACACGTGCAGGTTCACCAGTTCCACCGGCCCCTGCCACATCACCATGTCCCTCCCCTGCAGCCTCACCGTCTACGCCATGCTGCGGAGTACGAGAAAGCATCAGCTCACGCAATTGCCTCTCGAGCTTGGCAATAGCCACTGCCTGACCCTCATTGCGAACCTCCAGCCTATGCATCCGTTCTGCCATCTCCGCTCTCCACTCCCTATCCTCCACCTCATCACCTATCACCTCAGGCTCGGGCGGTTTCCTTATCTCATTGCCAGAAGGGATCTCATGCCCAGCTGCCGTGAGCTCCCCGATCAACCGTCCTTCTGCATGAGCGCACACATCCTCCCGTAACCTACGTCGACATGCCAGTGGGCTCATGCTGAACCGTACCCCGTTCTCAGCACCTTCGAAACACGCCTCCACAAGCGCGTGAATGTACTGGCATACGAAGATGCCGCAGTCAAAATCGTTCTGCTGCAGAGGCATCTGCCACGCCTGCAATACACCAAATGCACATGCAGTATAATGAAAAACAGACGGGAGTGTACACGTGTATCATTTGATAAACTATGTATGTAAAATGTTTAATGTCACATGTGCACCATGCAGAGTACAACATTTTGCACGGGAAAGCACCTTGCACGTACAGATGGCTGCACTCAACTTAGTGGCACCATACACACGACAGCACTTTGAACCGGGCAGTACATTGGTTGTTTGGCAGCATCGTGCACATGGGTGCACCATGCGCATGGTTGCACCAGGATTGCATGGGTTGCAATAATAGCATGGCTGCACATGAATAAGCATACGATGTAGCATGGTAGACAAGCGTAGTACTGGTCAACACACCTCCATGACGTGTGGCTGGAATCTCCCGAGCCTCGCTTTCATCTCTTCTATTGGTCGGTTTCCATGGTCCTTCTCGTAGGCCATGCCTAGCAAGCTGTGACGGGACTGCGTTGGGAAGGACAAAAGACGAAGTGGAAGTTTGAATAAATGAAACAAAATCATGCACGGTGATGTTTGCGTGCTTGTAAGTGAATTTGTGTTCGCAACCTCTAGCGGAACCTTACTTGGTCATGTTCTTGAATGCATTGCCCCCAACAGCATGCATCCCAAGGGAGTCATACAGCAGCAACCACGCAGGCTGGGTGGCGATGTCCTCGTCGAGCGGGAGAGTCACAACTCCAGGATTGACCACAATCATCACACTGAAATGAAACCTGCATCGTCACCACATTACACAACTAATGTCACGGTCAGGCAAAACAACAGCCGAAGCCCTTTGCGTATAGGCTAGACTAGACACGGGATCATGGCACTTACCCGCCAAAGATTGGCATGGCCAGATAGTCGTAGCTGAAGATCGACGCTCTGGACTCTCCACTGGCGATCTTGCCCCGTGAGCAGAAGTAGTCGTAACTTTGACTGTCCAACGCGAGCCACGTCTTGCCATTGCTCAACTTTGGCCGGCGGATGTTGAGCACTCTGCGGTGAAAGAGGCAGTAAATGTAGCACAACAATGTGAGATTTGTAAGTGCGATAATCAAGACACAAGGGTTCATCACCGGAGTCTACATGTCTATGGTATGGCACTTACATATTATGGAAATCGATGAGCGACTGCGTGATCGGCTAATTATCTGTGATGTGCAGAGCGTCGGCCATCGTGATAATGGCCGTCATGCCGTGATGGTCACGAATCGCATGCGTGGGAAAAAAGGGATGCGTAAACTTGTCCGCAGTAGCTCTAGACTCCTCATGTGTGTTTAGCAACGGGATCTTGGTATCTCCGGTGATTTTCGCGATGAGATCGTCAGGTTCTACCAACGGCGTCTCAAACTCCGGCTCCACGCCATAATCGTGGGGAGCTAATTTTTTCAAGACCACCGGATCAGACAGCGTGGCGCAATGCTCCTTGATAGTCGTCGCGTTTGCGTGGCCCAATTTCAGCCTATCACTACGATGAAGACCGTCATCTTCTCCCGAATCCACGTCGGGCGTTGACGTGCCTTCACGTTTTCGTTGACGTTTCCCTCTACCACGAGCTGCTCGACCTGACATATCCACCGCCTAATCGCGCGCCGACGGCTCGTGTATCACGTAAGTACGGAGTTAGGGATAGGAAAGGGTGCTAGAGGCCTAAACCGGTAGAACTTCTAGTATCCACTCTAGGAGCTATCTATCCCTAACTTTGCGTTCTGGCGGACATATCGAGAGGAATATGCCCGGCACATGACGTGGTTTAGTTGGTGCCAGTGTTTGGGTTGAGCTTCGTACCTCACGCGCAATTACATGGTTACCGTATTTCGTTTGTAAATTTGTGATGTTACGAGGGATTTATTTGTACTTCGCGCATTGTACTGAGTCACGGATCGTTAGGGTTGCGATGTAACCGCAAAGCCGAACTCACCGAAATGTTCACAGTTGAAATGCGCACTTCATAACCTGTCAACTGCGCCCATACGCATATGACGCTCATATGCGCGGACCAATCAAACGCAAGCCAAAGATGACCGGTCATATTTGTATGCCTGTCAAAAAAGCTCGATTGCATATGAACCGCTCATATGCACGGACCAATCAAATGCAATTCGGAATTGACCGGTCATATCCCTGTGCAATTTGACAGGCAACTGCGCGTGTGCTATGTCCGGTCATATGCATGTGATATATGCCCGGGCATTTGGCGATGTACGCGATGTTATAAATTTCGCATCAACGCGCTACATGCCCTGCAGACTCGATACATAGCAAATATTTGTTTACCACCGTTTCTGAATTATTCTTATTGTGACGAAAATAGACAAAGTGATTTATTACTTGACCCACCGCCTAATAATGTAGTCTCTAGTCGCCGGCATATCAGAAAATAACTATGTAAGTGCAATACTTAGTGTTGGCTTGAGAGCAGTGGCCCATGTCTATACACTCCTCAACCTCATCATCCTCCGGTTCCTCCCCGCAGCTGATTTGGCTCCCATCCTCCACGTCGGACTGCTCCATGAATACTTCTTTGGTATCTGCCTCCGCCTGACTGTCGTACATGGTTGTAAGCATATCTCCCACATTCTCGCTTGCCAACGAAGGGAGCTCGGTTGGTGTTGCTGTCACATGATCAGATGGATGCACGTTGTCGGCAGCCGCCGATTTAGGCCGTAGGTCACAAGGGCGGTCACGAGTATGATTCGCAGTTGGCATGGGTCTGAACCCATGGTCCCTATGGGGCTGCTGAGATGGTGGCTGCTGAGATGGCTGCTGCTGAGATGATGGCTGCTGGGATGGTTGCTGATGAAGTGGTGGCTGCTGATATGGTGGCTGCTGATATGGTGGCTGCTGAGTTGGTGGATGCTGAGATGGTGGCTGCTGAGATGGTGGCTGCCGAGATGGTGTCTGCTGGTCTCCCCTGCGACCACTCCTCCTTTGCCGCCGCACTTCCATCCTTGCCATTCTGGCTCGTTGTGCCGCACCCGTCCGGCTCCGTAACCCATCCCCGCCCTCTGGCTCCCTTGCACGCTGGTCGGCTCCCCGTCTGCCACGGGTCTGCTGCACACGGGCCTCTTCAACCCCAAAGAGGTAGTTCGCCATTGCAGCACAGTCGGCCCGGCATCTCCTCACGAGTTTGCCAAACTTCCGCTTTGTGCGGCAGTTTGCGAGCTTCTTGAAGAGTTCAGAGGCGTTAGGGCCAAACTTCAGCACATTCTGCTCCAAATGCCAGCTGCAAAAGTAGTGGGGGAACTGGGATGGGAACACTTCTTTAACCGTCGGTATTAACCCTTTATCACGATCACTGATAAGGGAGGCATCGTGGGTAGCCGGCCACGAAGGAAAATGCGTCAACAACTTCTCACAAAACCACTTCCAACTGTCTTTATTCTCGCTCTCGCATAGACCGAAAGCGAGTGGAACAAGCTGGTTATTTCCATCTTTAGCAGCCGCAACCAAGAGCGTAGCCCGCTGCGCCCGAATGAGAAATGTACCATCCATGCCAATGACCGGTCGGCAGAACCTTAGAGCAGTTTTTGATGCCGATGGGGCGGCAAAAGCCCGGAAGAAAGCGTGATCCTTCGTCACAAGGTCGAGCGTTGAATCAGGGTCAATCTCTCTGAACCGTTCCAACACCCGAGGAATGTAGCGGAAAGAAGTTTTCCAATCTCCAAAGCGCTCCTTCAGCATCCTTTCCTTGAGCCTACGATGAGGGATGACGATGTGCGAGAAAAGATAGGCACGTTGAGAAAACAGAAGGTGAATGGTGTGCTTAAGAATATGCATGTGACAATGGAAGCGATATGGAGAGAATGTTTCGAGACGTACCGCCATGATTGGTGATAATTGATATCCGGACCACCGGTTGACGCAATCTGATCCTTGTATGTCCCGGGAGGGTGATGTGGTGCAGCATGGACAAGGTTGCCATGATGACGCTGCAGATATGACACTTTATTTGTTGTATGCTTCACGTAGCGATCCCGATCCACGGGTGAGCAGCAATGAGATGATAGGGCGGACAGTTTGTCAACACGCCAAAACCCACCCACAACGTCAGTGGAGTACTCACACCGCCACCTGCACGCTGGTTTAAGACGCTCATGTTGACTCATGCATATGGCGTGGACTCTGTTTCGCCTACTCCTCATAACCCTAAATCCGAAGTTGCAAGCTACCTAATAGTCGTCTAGTGCTTCGTACAAAAATTGCTTAGACGAGTATAGTTGACCTTCACACAACAAGGCTCGATCGTCTATCACAATTTGTGGCGAGCGGTCCTCGTCGACGACCATTTCCCGGAGCAACGAACGGTACATATCACTTTGTTTGGGCTCTCCAGTTCCAACGAAGCAAAACTCTGTATCTTCATCGCCTGAGTCGGACTCTGTGTTAGAGGTGTAAGACATCGAACCCATTGCGGCTACTAGGAACGTTCAAGCCGGAAAAGCTCCTAGAGGAACCTCCTGTAAGGACCTAAGTGGTCCAATCGAAGGCAAGGGTAGATGTCAACCCTAAAACAACGAGGAAATGGTGTGAGCGATGTGTAGCATATGTTTCAAATCATAATGCGCGGGAAGATGATACAGGCGTACCAAACTGAGTTTGAGCGTTTTAATTTGAACCTAATTGGCCAGAGTTTATGTTTGTGCGAGTGTTTTTAGCATATGATTGGCGAGATCATAAAGTAAATTGAGTTTCATTGGCGCGGTCAAATATGGTCGCAATCCTTAATGATGGCACCTGATTGGACATGTAATGCCAACAATTGCACCGAGCATATCATTGACGAATCATGCGCGGTCGTTAGGGCTGTTGCGGTTTGATGCTGGTCAATTGAGGTTTATGATCGCGGATTTATATGCTCGAGCGCTTATTGGTTCCAAATTTGTTTGCCCGCGCGCTCATGGTCGCGCAGTGGGGCGAAAATGGCCGCGCATATACTATTGGTCGGGTCACGTTCGTGCCCGCCAACCACCCGAAATTTTCGGGTGGGGAATAATACGAATCACTACCGCGGGATGAGACTCGTGCGAACGAGGAATTTCGGGGATACAAACCCTGGAAGGGTAATGTGCCGGAGAAAAAAAACCCCTCGGAAATGCCCTGGCGTGGCCACTCGAGCAATTATCACTGAATTTGATGGCCACTCGAGCAATTCGGGGACACGTGGGCAAGAGCAAATCACCAAACAAGGCACTGGAGCAATTCTCTCTCCCTCCGGGCAAACTCTTTCTGTCAGAGTCCTCTCTTATCTCTTAGTAGCCGTAGAAGTAGCCTATCCTCTCGTCGGGCCATAATTTGTCAGAGCAGGGTGCTCGCAAATCACGCGAAAACAGGACTCGGAGCTTACGAGAGGAAGCTCGATCAAAGCGTCGTTTTTGACAGGCTATTTCAAATCCAGGGGAGAAGAGAGATAGAGGAAAACGAAACAGACCTCAACTAGCGATAGCGACTCGGAGTCTATCAGCATCTTAAAAAGTAGAGGGCGGTCGTTCACTCTAACGGAACGGTCCGATCCTTTGAGATCTCGCCGGATTTTACTGACCATCATGATCGGAAGGGCGGTCACTCCGTGTAACGCATCGCCTTCCTACCCTAACAAGCCTAGCTATGACTCTCTAAAGCGCTACCTACGTAAGGTAGCGACTTACGGGAAGAGAAGGTTGGAGGAGGTGAATGGTGATTGGTCCACAATTGTGGACCACCACCCACTAAAAGACAAGCGTGGTTGGGAACCAACCCAACCTCCACATTGGTTGGAATTCCAACCAATAGCTAGTGAACATTTATGTTATAAGTTACAACATGTAACAAAACAATCCTTATCACAATTGGGTTGCTCTCATTGGTTGCAAATCCAACCATTGTGCCACCTAAGCAAACTCACCCCTAGGAGCTCCTTGCCCTTGTTGCCATGGAGGAAGTGGAGCTCCCCAAGGAGGTCTAGGAGGGGTGTGAGCCAACCAAGCTCATTCTCAACTCCCACTTCCAATCAACCAAAGATGGAAATGGGATTTTCTCTCGAAGTACAAGATTTCTCCCTCACAAGTGCCCTAGCCTTCAACTACTCTCTTGGTGAAGCTACTCCATCACTCTTAGAGCTTCAACTTCAAAGCCTTCAAGGCCCAAGGCTAGCTTAGGGACTAGTTTATCTTGTATGTGCTTGTTGTTGGCGTTTTATAAGCCTTCTATAGACCCTTTTGTGGGCATTTGCTATAAGCCCGGGTCTTTATTGTGATTTTAAGGGCGTTTCCTCTATAAGCCCGTATTACATTTGGTATTCAGAGCCTTGGTTATCCTTGGTCCTGTGTGGCTAACTAGTTTTTTTTTTTTTTTTTTTTTTTTTTTTAGGAGTTTCTAGCTCTTAGATCTAGAATAGCCTCAAGCTCATTTAAGAAGAGTTGAGAAACTCCCAAGATCAAGAAATATTCTTCAAGGATCCCAAGATCTAAAAGCTCTTTGAGCTTTAAGAGAATTTATTCTCTGCCCACCTTCTTGATGGAAGACTCATAGCTATGTTTTCAATATCAGAGTGATACAGATCTAAGAGATTTGTTAAAATATTCCTCTTAACTTGCTCCTTGAGCAGTTTGGGGAACTTTCTCTATTTCCTTCTTGAAATAGAAGATTTATTTAACAACTCTTTTTCTGTACCTTTCTCTTTGTGAGAATATTGATCTATGTAAAAGAAGTCTGAAAGATTTCAGAATCTCTTGCCTATCACCTTGAGTGTTAGAGGACCCTTATTAAGATCATATTTCTTAACAAAGAAGAAACACTCTCCTTAAGCTCCATCTTAACAACTCCTCTATGGCTACTCCTCATGAGGAAGCATCAAAGGAAGATGTCCCTATGACCTCAGTGGATGAACTGGAAGACTTTCCTGATCTTGACCTAAATGCTGAGGACGTCATAGGGGACCTTCCTGTGGAAGAGGAAGAAGCACTGGGAAACCAGGAGGAGAATGGAGAACAGGAAGGGCTTGATGATCTCGGCTCGGATGACAACTTTCCGGAGGAGTTTGAAAAACTTCAATCCACGGTGGCCGAGCAAGCATCTTCCTTGTTGCAGCAGAAACGACGGGTCAGTGAGCTTGAGACTCAGCTTGCTGAGCAGAATGCCTCAATGGACACGATCAAAGCTCAGCTTAACAAAGTCACTGCCGAGGCTCATCAATTTAAGAGATCTCTTGGCCTCAAGGCCAACCAGATCAAGAGCCTTGAGGATACTTTGCAGCAGCTCAATGCTACGTGCATTAACCTTGAATCGACCTGCACGACGCTGCAAGCGCAGTATAGGGAGCTCAGGAGAGGCGGTATTTATCGCCCCCCTCCTAGCAATGGGCAGCCTTCTACTTCTGCCGGAGCTCCAACAGAGCAGCCGATGTCGCCTGACGCACCCGCATTTGGGTCGCTCCCCACTGCCTTGCCAAACTTCATTCATGGCAAGACGAACGTGGAATCCTGGCTTCATCATGTGGAGGAATTCCTTTCCATCCACAACGTGCGCCCCGATGCACGCGTTATTGCTGCTACAGGTGCTCTCGATGAGACTGCTCGTAACACAGTCTACAGCACTATGAAGCTTGCCGGGGCAACGTCGGCCACCTTTGGATGGTTCGATTTTTGCAGCGCGATGAAAGACGCTTTCCATGTGCAAAAGACTGACCTGGAAATGCGCAGCCGCATCAAGAGCATGCAGTGTGGAACTCGCACTGTGCAGGAGTATGCCAACGAGTTTGAACGGACTATGTTACTCCTGACAGTCGCTCTCACTGAGAACGAGGCAATGTCGTCGTTCTGTGAAGGCTTGCCCCAGTGGCTTCGCGAGAGGCTCGTGCTAGGCAGGAACCAGTACACTACGTACAAGGAGCTCAAGACAGCTGTCATTGATCTTGACGTGAGCGTCCGCACTTGCCTTAATGCCCCCAAGGGTCACTTGCAGAGCGGGGGTGAAGGCCCTAGTGGCCAGAATAATGCGGCGCATCCTCCTAATGGAAAGGGTGGAATAAGAGGCCTTTCCATCCGCAGAGCCAGCAGAATGGGCCACAGCCTAAGAGGCCCTTTCATAAGGGTGGCCAGCAGAGGAACGGAACTCCCTTTTGCACCTACTGCAAGAAGATGGGTCATACGAAGGGGCAGTGCCGTACGCTGAAGAGGGCTGAGGATTCTGGCAAGCCGCAGCAGGCGAACAAGAAGGGAGATGCAGGACCTTCAAGCTCACACCAGGATTTTCACAAGTCCAACTAGGGTGTGGGTACCTAGCTGGACAGGTAGATCGAGGTGATGATCTATTAAAGCTAGAGAAACTTGCTGAGTGCAAAATCTCTTGTTTGTTTGCTTCTTCTTTGAATGAAAATTTTGTTTTTCTACCTAGATTGCACCCACTTACACACCTATCTACCGAAACACTCAGAGATAAGTTCTCTGTCATTTGCTGCAGCGTGGATGTGTTGCCTTCCATAATGGAATTGGTGGGTTATTGTACCCAAAAGCACCCACTGACTTCAGACAGTCTGGTGACTCGCACAATCAAAGGCAAACATTTTCCCATGCTTAAGGGATGGACGGTACTTGCCGCATGGGATAAGGGATATCACATGTGGTGGCCTGACAGCCGATCTTATGGTCGAGCAAAGCACAATGTCAAGGCATACTACCTCCCACCAACTCGCATTGTTGCATGCCCCATTCGACCAAAGCATCAACAGAACTTGTTGCTGGTGGGTCGCATAGACGGGGATGAAGAAAAAATTCTTGTTGATACAAGCGCGACTGTTTCTCTTTTCGATGAAAACAGAGCCACAAGCCATGGGGTCCTCGTTGAAGGAC